GACATTGATAGTATTAAAATAATTTTTCATCAGAATATAAACGTGATTCATGTAAGAAATTCATTCCACTCAGTAAATGAGCCCGACTCTCTGTACTTCTGAGTACTTTGATTTATCGAAGAGGCAAAAGACTAGAAAGTTATTGATTACTCGGTATATTTTACTGATTGCACCCTTCCCCCTCTATGATACCAATATTTCACCAGGTCTATTGGTGCATCTGTGTGGCGCAGTAGTTAGATCATTTGCCCATGAGTCGCAGAGTAAAGCGATCCTTAAGTACAGGGTTCAAATCTCAGTTCGGAATCGAGACATAACATTTCGAATATAAAGAAAAATTCCGGAAAGGTAGATACAAAAAAAATCAAACAAACAAATCTGTTCATTGAATTTGTGTACAGTTACATGAATTCGTATTGTTTTCTTTAACTTTTTACATTTAATTTTAAAAACCTTATATCAATATGTCTTTTGAATTTTTTAACAGCGTATTGTGGGCAATATTTACAGGATCTTCCCATTCTGACTCTAGAATTTTTGTACATGTTAAGAGGAAAAGGCCATCGATTTCAATGGAGAGAAAATTAAAACTGATTGATAGATTGTTGTTTAATGTCCCTGTTGAGAATGGTTCTTTATATTGAGAGACCACCACTTGCAGATGGAGGGCAACAGATTCTAACCTATACTCGGCACTTAGGGCAATTGACCAGCGAGAGATCTTTTTTGTGCCATCTCCTTCTACCTCGGTTTATACGAACTCAAACGAAGAACCGGCCTCCACGTCCCTTGGTTGGATTCGATTCCGCGACGTAAGGATTGACTCCTTACTTCGCGACTCTATAGAAAGATGCTTTAACTACTGTGCCACGCGGGCAACACTTTGTCTATAGAATCATAAATTAAAAATTCATAAATATAAAAAAAAATACAAGTCAATATGTTGTTTCACTACTTATTTCTGCACATCAAATATGATCATGCTATTCAAATTTTTAATGCTCATATTGCAAAATTATGCTGAATGATACAGAAGTATTTTTTTGATAAATTCCTCTGTAAAATGACAATTGATAAAATCCAATTAATACTTAGCATTTTTCATATTTTCATCTGCCAGTGATTTGAATTTTATAAATGATTATGGTATAACAGATTTTGACAAGACTTTGAATTAGAGATTTAATCAAATCATAAATCATATGTATATATGTAATAGAATATAAACTTCTAATTTTTCTGCATTAACGGACAGACTTAATGTAAGAGAGACAAGTTGATTCCTGTCAACAACCACGTCAATACCAAGTTTTTGTTAAAATTGTTAAATATTTATGCGCCCAAATTTATTTGGGGCGTATATTTTTTTTTTCCTGTCTGTCTATTTGTCTGTTTATCTGTTTGTTTTTCTGTTTGTCTGTCTGTTGTCAACTTTAACCTTCGCCATAACTTTTGAATCTTTTGAGATAGAGACTTCATATTTGGAATGAATACTCCAATAATTAAACACTAATTAAACGCTTTTAACTGACACCAAGGTCAATGACCTTGTGACCTTGACTGTGACCTATATGCGCAAGCTTTTTCGAACTTCACTTTAACTTTTGAACCATAAGAGATAGACTTTATATTTGGTATGCATACTTCACTGGTTAAGTGCTTTCAAATGACACAAAGGTCAAAGACCCTGTGACCTTGACTGTAACGTATGCTAAAAATAGCTTTTTCGAACTTTGTTGTATCAGGGTGCATAGAGTTTCACAAACAAATCTTGTTAAAATATAAAGTTTACCCCCCCCCCCCAAAAAAAAAAATCGGAAAAAATTTTATAAAAAAAATAACGATTGCTTTTGTTTGGTAAAAAAACCGAAAACTGATCAAAGGGAATAAGTTTGTACAAAATGGTTGTCATTGCAACGGAATTGCCTATCAATTTAATTTATTTCTAAGTAAAAAATCATCTTAGGGTATCCAAAATATAAATATAAACATTTATGGAAGATTTTATAGATGCTACCAAAATTACAGATTTCTTAACTGTCAATAAAGCCATAATTTCAGATATAAAGGAATAAGTTTGAATGAAGTCAACAAAGTTATGCTGATGGCAAAATAATCACATATGTGAAACTCAAACAAAATTAGGGTTACGAGAATTATTTATCAGTTGTTAAAATTTTCATCACAGAAAATCTCTTTAAATTTCCTGTCAAAGATTTCAAACTGGAGTAGGAAGATTTACCAATATTCCTCGAGAAGATCGATTATGTAATAGATGTAATTTTAATAGCATACATAATGAAACTCACTTTTTGATAACATGGAAAAAAGAACTACGAATTCTAACTCTTGATTCCCGCCTACAATTTGCACCCATTAAATTCAATATTAAATACAAAGAACAGTTCTATGGTAATTGACGAATTATTTCAATTCCAGCGCTAGATAGAAATTATCAGTTCTTGAAAAAAGTGAAATTAAACTTTCAAGAATCACCATATTTTGAAATAGTCTTTAAGTTAAATAAGATAAAATGTATCTCATATCTTTTCTTATGTTTTACGCAAAAAAAAAAAAAAATAAATAAAATTAATATTAATTAATAAAATACAATTATTTAATTGTAGATAGCTTTAAAATTGGTGAAAAATCAGCATTTTTAAAATATATTTTTTCTCATAATAAACAAAGAGATAGATGAAAATATTTACATTTATGCCTTACACACACACACACAATCACCCTTTCACAATATCCACTATCCATCTATAGATAATATTAAAAGAGAGAGAAAAAAAAGATAATACATGTAAATTCAATTTAAATACATATATTCATTTATCAATATGCGGATAAAAAAGAGATGAAAAAGAAAAAAAAAAGAGAAGACAGTTACAATAGTGAATGACATTTGAACTGTGACTACTCAAAAACAGGTTTCCATGTAGACCATATTGAATTAAAATACACCATTTTATTCTTTTGGATTGAAACAAATTTTTCAGCACTATATTTGATTCTTAGATGACATAAGAGTGCACTGAGATTTGGCATTTTCTTCTGTATCAAACAAGTAAAGATATATTGTTTAGTGTATAGTATAATAAAATTCACAGCTCTATTATTTTTTGACAAAGGAATCTCTCCTAATTTAACATTATTAATGTTAAATCCGACCCTTTTTGAAGTAGTTCTATATATATGTTGGCTCAGACTACTCCACAATGCCAAAATATTATTACAAAATAAAAATACATGTTGGATTGTTTCACTTTCATTCTTACAAAAGGTACGCAAATCAGTAGTTTTAATATTAATCTTTTTAAAATAGTAACCTACAGGAAGAATCCTATGAAGTATTCTAAACTGCAGCCATTGAACAGCTGTATCACTTGCAAACTTGCATGTAGGGTACATCTTTAATGGACGTTGAGATTGAATACTGTTCGTTATTTCCATATCCTTATCATGCATACTACCAGACTTGCTTCGGATGCTGAATCTGAGCTACATTTTCCAGTTGCGTGGACAGATTAAAGGTTTTGGTTCAGGTTTCATTTCCAAGTTACTATGAGCCCTATAATGAGTAAACTAGCATGGATGTTACATCTTAGGATGCATACCACTAGACTTGCTTCGGATGCTGCATCTGACCTACATTTTCCTGATGAGCGAACAGGTTAAAGTTTTTGGTACAGTGTTCATTTCCAAGTAACTTTGAGCTCTTTGATAACCAAACTTGCATGGATTATACATCTAAAGGTATATTCTAGCAGGGTGACTTCGGATACTGAATCTGACCTATATTTTCTGGATGTGAAAAGGTTAGTTTTTTTTATACAGGTTTCATTTCCAAGTAACTTTGAGATCTATGTTGAGCAAACTTGCATGGATGATACATCTTAAGATGCACTCTAGCGGACTTGCTTCAGATGCTGAATTCGACATACATTTTCCAGATGATGGACCTGGCTGGTAAAAGTAATGGGTGCAGGTCTATTACAAAGGAACTGAAAGGCTTATATAAACGAAACTTGCACAAATGATGCACCAAGGGAATGAAACTCTCAAACTTGCTTCAGATGCTGGATTTTGATTATGTTTTCATGATGATGAACTAGTTTGAAGTTTTTATATAGGTCTACACCATAATATCCAAATCAGAATTGCCTAAAGATTTTGAATTTTTGGAATGTACACATTTTTGGGGGTAATTGTGTGGCTTTGCCTTACTTAAAGACAAAATTCGTTGAGGTGAGTCTCTGATTACCTATGTTTCAAATATCATATCATTTGTGATGCTTGAATTAAAAGTATTAGCCTAGGGTTTAAGTTAAGAAGCCTTAGCTTTACTTGTCACATATATTTGATGATAAAAGAAAAGTTATTTATTTGCACTGTACATGCCTTCTTTTTACTTCAGGGCAAAACTGTTAAACCCAAGAAAAGGATAATAGATGGTGTTGATGACTTTGATATGTTGGTGAATAAGTACAAGAAAATCTTGTTCGGCAAATCCCAGAAATCAAAATAGTTTGATCGGTGATGATGAATTAATGTATAAAAAGAAAACAAGAAGATGAAGAAAAATGGTTACCACAGAATTGATCTTGATTTGTATAAAAGTAAAATAAATACACTTTTAAAAATCCTATTTATTACATTTTCAAATTTTCAAATTTCAAATACTTTTCCATTATTATGGCATACATTAGACTAATGCAATAATAAAACTAGGAAAATATCATTAGGCATTGGTGATTTTTTTTATTCCATTGTACGTTTAAAAATCATGGAATTAACCGTAATTAACTGATCAACATCTATTTCTTAATTTTAACCTGTATCTAATGAATGAATTTAAAAATAATCTGATTTTTAGAAAAAATAAAGAATACAAAATATCTTCATATCTATATTAAATCAAAAGATGTAATTAAAATTAAAAAAAATATTTAATATGTTAAAATAAAATCAAAATATGATTTTTTTTTCTCACTTTAATTCCGTAATTTACATTTATGTTATTTTTTTTCAAAAACAATATACAGTACCATCAAGTTTAGACAGCTTAAAAATTATTACTTTTACTTAAACCTAAATTATCTGAAAAGATATGATAATGAAACGATTTTAAATATAAGCTAAATCTACAACTTATAAAAAGTACATTTTTCAATAAATCATATAAGGAATCCAGAGAACGTGGTGACAGGAGCATCACCATCGGTATAATAACCAGATCCAAAGTAATGTTTGACCCAAACTCGATCCCCTTTGATAAGCCTTAATACCACCAAGTTCGGCCCTGAATCGTAGTATTCATTATCACCATTATATACCATTGTTGTGACTTTAGCCGAGCCATTTAGCACTATATATGTGTATACACTCTTATCACTATAACCTTGAACATTTACAAAGAAAACAAAGTGTCCGTCTACAGGGGCTGTGAAGACACCAGTACTGGAGTCGTACCCTCCTCCTATGTTGTAGACGATCCTATCAAACACCAGTGTACCACTGTTCCAGGAGCCAGTGCTTGAACTCACACCAGCCGTAAAGGCTACTTTTCTGGTGATGTCTGCAATTCAAAGTTCACTAAATTTGTATTACATGCAATTTTTGTATGTTACGTATTTTAAAATCAGCATTTATCATTAGGTACATTTGATAACTTTCGATAATTTCTTGGGAATGTTACACTGTTTTGTCAATAATTTCTGGTAATAAGATAAATTTTATCTACCTGTGTTTAACAATATATAATGTGTTAAAAAAATTAAGCTAAATAAATTAGGACAATATGTAAATTACAACCATTTTCATTATTCACTTATATGTACACATGTACTTGTATACGGAACGTGTCTGTAACTACGTGAACCTTACTATGATTAAAAAAAAATACTTAATACATACTGGTTATTTGTCCATAAACGTCTCTTATCTGATCGTCAATTCTGGTTAAAGTTGTATTGAATTTGTCCGTTTTAGAGTGCACGTCCATTAGTGACAGGCTTGTGTATCGCATTTGAACCTTTATATCGTGTAAGATATTCATTGAATCGGTGAGCTGCTGACTTAAATTTTTGTCAAATGCTTCGTTTTCAGTCAAAACATCATGAATTTCATTAAGTCGTTGAGTTAAGTTCTTGTTCTGTCTGTCATAAATCGCATTTTTGATTTCTGCCTCATTCAGTCGCAGAGTTAGATTTTTGTCGAGTTCCTCATTTGCTGCCAAAGTTTGAACTATTTGTTTTGTTCTTCTTAAATACGCCATTAATTCCTCATTGGAAGGAGGCTTTGACGCATTTAGTTTATTCAGTTCCGCTTCCAAAAAGAATACTCTGTTTTGAAGCAACTTTTTTTCGTCACTATGAACGATAAGATTCTGATTTAGTACCTGTATGGTAATTCTTTCTTGATCGGATTGTCTCTTTAGATTATCAACCTCAGTAGTTAAGTTCAGAACCATTCGCTTGATTTCCTCCACATCGGCATTGTGTCCACCTGGCCCATGGATTGTGTCGCTTCCATTAGAAGTTCCCTGCATTAACAATGCAGAGCCATCTCCAGTGTTAAACAAAAACAGTAAAATAATAATGTAAAAAGGATTTTCAGCTCGCATTTTGAAACCTTTACGTGGTCTTGTATTTCTTTACAGCAGTATGTTGCACCTCTCCTGATTTCCTGTGTATTTTTTGTTTCATCTAGCGACTTCGATTATATATACTCCTCTGATAATCCAAGGGAAAAAGATAAGAATGTACGAAATCTGGGATATTATAAATCTGTGATGTGGCTTTTTATATAACATTTCTTCTTTAAGAAATGCACGTTTAATATGTACATAAGATTAAAATCTTCGTTCAACAAAGAAACTTGAAAGGACATATTTTGGTATCTATCAAGTATAATCTTAATTTAAGAAAAGAACAAACAAGATATAAATGATTTGTTGCTACATTTCGTGGAAATAATGAAAATTTGCTGAACATGAGACTAAATAACGCATTGAATAGTTTCTACACTTGACACTGAATAAATATCTATATCTATAGATCAAAGAAATTGAAATCTTTATAAAGTTGGTCTGTGGTACAAGGACAGGTAACACGTGTTTGATTATAAATTACTTAATATTTTTTAGATACGTAATCACGTAAAATAATAAGTCGTTTTGGCCTTTAGTGTTCGATTTTCATAGAAAATCTACATATTAAATCAAATCTAAAAAATCTTGACTACACTATTTCGCAGAAAATCAGTTATGCTGATTTAAAGTTGTGTATACTGACGATTTCCTCAAAAAAAGTTTTTTGGATCTCAAGGAATTCTGGTTGTGCAACATACACACTTCGTCTTCATTTATTCCTTTGTAGGTATACGTAGCGGCAAATTAAAACTTGCATGTGTTTAAAACATGTGTTTCACTTTTGTTTTAGACCTGCCTTAGTATACAAATACCTTCATTCTTAAATAGGAACTGACTTCATCTGGATTGGGGATGAAGGGTATATCCGCGCCTCGGCAAGGAACTCAAAAAGTCATTACTTATCTTGGTAATTTTGAAATTCTTAAAAGGAGGCTTGAATTAGTAATCTCTGTGCAACAATTTTCATTTCATGCATTTCATTTATGTTTAAGGACAGTTGAAACAAACAAATTTTATCTTTGAAGGAGACTTAATATCATGTCACAAGTTTAAAAAAGTGGATGATTCTTAGAATTTTTTCTCCTAAGAACTGGAAAATGAAACATACTTGTAAAATTTTACTAATATTTCAATAAAGAAACAAATATTGACAAATTACACTCAGGAAAGGTTTATAGGTGAAAACAAATTTCAGAATATGCTAGCTTGGTGCTAAAAATGTTATATAAACTTTAGAAAATTATACCAAGCTACGTGAATTTTATTAGGAAAAGCAAAATGGTATAAATTAACCTATATCATATGGGCTGATTTTTACCATTTTGCTTTTCCCCATAAAATTCACCTGGCTTGGTATATTTTTCTTAAGTTTATATTACAATTTTAGCACCAAGCTAACATATTCTGAAACTTTTCTACACTTGTGACATGATAATAAGTCTCTTCCAAAGATAAAATTTGTTTGTATCATCTGTCCTTAAACTTTGTTGAAATCTAGCCTTAGATACTAATATGTTCAGTAGCATGAGATAGAATTATAAGTTTCAGATGGATACATGTACGTAGCACAAAGCCTCTTTCACTACGCATATGTAAAATAATTTTTATTCTAAAATATTTTTTTTTGGATAAAATATCAAATAAAGAGAACGCATAGATGATTCCTAAATTTCGTTTTTCCCGAAATTTTATGTAGAATTATGAATAGTTTGATGAGAGAATCAGTCTTTACATTTGATATACCATTTCAGTGGCGGATCCAGAGGGGGGTTACGGGGGTTGCAACCCCCCCCCCCCTTGAATTTGCAAAAATAAAAACGAAAGAAGAAAGTCCCAAATTTTTGATGTTTTTTTTACTATAGACAAAGTTCAGTGAAAGGCTAATGTTGTATTATATAGGGAAATTCGGTAGTGAATGCAAAATTAAACCCCACCCCTTTTCAAAATGGGATTTTCGGGTTCAGAGATATATTTTCCTTTCTTTTTCAAAAACTTTCCGGTAATTCATACAAGTACTTTTTAGGTTGATCATCCTCCCACTTTTAAAAACCGTACACCACCCGGTATCCTATTGAGTTATTTAACTACATATGCATGTATAAGCTTTTTGTGAATGGCAAGAAATCATGGTTTGCATTTACAGAAATTAAGAAAAATACCGAATATTAAAGATCACACCGCTCAACGTGTTATCGGCTACTCGCTTGTTATCGGACACTCGATGCAAGAAAAGCAATGTTTAAATTTCATATTTCAACGATAAATTTATATTTTAGCAAAGTTTGTGATCTAAGACGGATTATTGATTATACTTTTAGCAGCAGAATGCACAAATCAAATCACTCTCTTTCAAAAGATCTACAGCTCTTTCAAATGATATTTTACAAACATTTCGGAATATATCATCACATTTTAACATTAGCTGCAGATCTGTAGCTATCCGAAGAAATATATATTGATAGACCGGATAGCTACAGTGCCACCCATTGAAAATACTGTATATTTATTGCGCACAAAAAAGTGCGCTCGGTTTTCGATTTATTTCTCCATGTTCCTAAAACTGTAATCTCAAAATATTACTTACCGTGTGTTCCTAACATATTCTTTGACTCCTTCCACAACAAAACATTCTTCATAATTGTTGTTAATAGTCCTCCTGACCCTGATATTGTAATCATCGAACATTTCGCTTATTTATACTGCTATTTTGGTTTCAAAGATAATTCGGTCCAATATGCTTCGTTCAGATGGCATCTACGAATGTTCTTGATAGAGGAGAGAGAAACTTTTTAAAATTTTCCCTCTTTTGCAATTGATGTAAGAATTTGGAAGAAATAATCAAGAACCGAGCGCACTTTTTTGTGCGCAATAAATATACAGTTTTTTCAATGGGTGGCACTGTAGCTATCCGGTCTATTTATATATATTTCTTCGGATAGCTACAGATCTGCAGCTAATTTTAACATCTGTAAAATTCAATATTAGTTTATTCTATCAAACAAACTGATCTATTTATTCTATGGACAATCAGATACCTTTAGATCAGCAAAGTGAGATTAAAAGTCCAAATTCAGGTCTAGTAAACAGCCTTTAAAATTGTCTCGTTATTGAAAACATGTTATCGTCAACTCGGTTGATGTTGCCGGTTACTTCGGTTTTTGACGGGTGTACGTTATCGGAAACTCAGGATAAAAAGTTTCTTTCGTAAATAGATTAGAAAAAATCCATTATATTCTGCAAATCCTTGAAAATAGAAAACGTAAAAGTCTGCTATGATATAAATGTATATAATTTATATAAGATTAATAATTATAAATTTATAATAGAACTACTTATCTGTTCAACCATTTTTCTTGTTTTCAATTCAAGATAAGCTCTTGGAGACCGCTTCAGGCAGTTTCAAACGTAAATATATGTTTAATTAATCATAACAATTTTGCTTTAGTCTTCCTTTATAGTTTACATGTATTGAATTATTTTTTTTTAAAAATCAATTTCTCCAATAATCCCCGGGGAACAAATTTTTTTTGGTCCAGTAATGTCAATCGTATTATCACGTCACAGTTACACATATATAGCAGGTGTGGCATTAGTAGGTTAGCCCCGTACATAAAACAAGAGCCTGTTGTTTTGACGTCAGGACTTATGTTGATCTTCAGAAGAACGTTAACATATTTTTAGAAGCTTAAAATAGAAATACACCGTTTATAAGAGTTTTTTAATACTTGATCACGTGATCATGTGTCAATAACACAGCTCTCAAAATTAAGAAAAAATAATAATTCTTAATTCTTTTTTATACAATATAATTTGGACATGTAATAGATTAATTAAAGAGAGTATCCTTTAATAAAAACATAGTCCAGAAAAATATTTTAGAAAAAAAGTTAAGGGAGCCGACTGGAATTTTATTGTGTTAGAAACGCTTTAATTAAAAAAATATATAACATACATGTATTTTCGAACCGTTAAATAAACCTTTTTAGAAGGAGGGGTGCTGGTTGATTCACTTCAGTTCCTCGTATGTTTAACCTTTTCTACAAACAGTTATTTGCGTTTTCAATTACAATAAGGGGGAGGGGAATCTTTTGTTTCAGTATAAACATCCAATAGCAATGCAAAATCCATATCAGCCCCCCATCCATCCGAGCATGTGACCGTTCATCAGGGGGTTTTTATTCCTTCTTGGTACGTTAAACAACCTCCGATAGTTTAGAGATCCGTATTAACGTTTTTGCAATCTTTTTAAGTCAAAATTTTGAATTTTATGTCATATATTTTGGTCTAACTACCTGTTTGAAAAATTCATCTAACCACCCTTGAGTTAAAATTGTTTTGCATGTGTTTACCAAACTTATAAATGTAATCGTGTTCGAAAGGTTGTGAGTTTGAATCTCGGCGGTGACTGACCTAAGTTGATAAAAATGGGTAGCAACTGTTCCTTCGCCATGCGTTCAGCACCTTGATTGTATGTTGTTCAACGCCCTCCTGAGAATTTTCCCGTCATACGGAGACGCCATCACTTGCCGACGGAGAGCTTCAAAATTTGTCATACACTCAGCTAGCACCTAGGGCCGTTGAGCATTGAGGGATCTCTTTTGTGCAAGCACCTACTGCGACGTCTCACTGTGGGATACGAACCCGCGGCTTAAGGATCTACCCCTTACTTTGCGACTCTAGAGCAGACACTCCAACGTGAACTGCGCCACGCAAGTGACCTCGGTACCTTGAATTGAAATTTTAAACTTATACCATTCATATTTTCGAACAGGTCAAGATCATGCAGATTTCAGGGAGAAATGCCAAAAACCACTCATAAAGGAATCTGGTATTTTCACCTATATATCTTCCTTTTAAAAATCCAAGTTGAGTATTTGATATGATATTGTCCAGGGTGGATCTTATCTATAACTAATACAACCTGATAACAGTTTATAAAACACATTTAAAAGTGTAATAGGCCGCCAATTTTTCAAAAATTCCCTGGCTTATCACCTTTTGGTAAGCAGGTAATTAAACCTAATCTTTGAGAAATGAGAAGCTCTTTCCTCTGAAAAATAT